AAAAAAAAAAATTAAGGTATGTACTACGAAGAAAATTTTTTCCCCCCTAAAGTCATGAAAATGAAAACCGAGGTGTGTTACTGGAAGAAAAACTGACCTTCCTTTTTTAGCTCATGTCCGTCTAGGAGGAGGGCCACTCGTTCCTGGTCAAGTCCCATTCATAGACCCACAGCCTACAGATCTACAAGGGGGGGCCCAAAAAACCCCGAGATTTATTTATGAAAAGTTGTGTATTTATTCTTACATGTTTAAACTTCAGTCATCTTCAAAGTCTCTCTATCTGATGCAATCCACCTACTGAGATGCTTTCACCACTACTCAGAACAGTTTTTAAACTCATTAATTTTGATGCCTTTTAGTGCTTCTGCCATCTTTTTGTTTCACCTCTTCCACATCGGCAAAATGTTTCCCTTCAAAGAATTTTTTCATCCAGGGAAACAAACAAACAAAAAGTCACTTGGGGAGAGATCAGATGAATAGGGAGGGCAGGCCACTGGAGTCATGCCATTTGGTCAAGAACTGTTGAACGCTCAGCATGGTGTGGGCAGGTGTGCTTGTCAATCGCCCATCATGAAATGGGCAAGCGCGTTGAAAGAATCTCCAAAAACATTTACTGAAGCTGAACACAGCTGCTCACAACAACGCTAGCTGGTGCACGGAAGCCGATGGGTGCCTAAAACACTCACCTAGTGGGGGAAACTTGCACTACAAGAGGCCAACCCTCCAAAAGAGAATTCCAGGTGTTTGGGGTCCCCTCACATATTCCATCCCAAACTCTCTACCAGACCCAGACTCCTCCACCAGGGGCCCCTTCAGCACCTTGTCTAGATGTCTGGGCCGGATTATGCGTCTCCCCAGACCCGCTCCACCTGCAGCCTTCTCCATTTCAGGGGCTCAGAGAAAGCGACCAGGAGTTGTCAGACTCCTCTCTCTGCCAACTCACAGCCAATCAATCCATCAGAAAGTCTCAACACATATACAGAGTCTGACAACTTCTCACCGCCCCCATTGTAGACTCCCAGATCTAAGACACTATGGCTTCTTGGCCTGGATTACTGCAACACTTCCTAAGTGGCCTCCCTGCTTCTAGCTTTGTCCCTCCACAGTTTCACAGAGCATCCTTCCGATGCAAGTCAGATGACAACCATCCTCTATCAAAGCCTGTGATGGTTCCCCATTGTGCTTAGAGGCCGACGTCCCTCCACTGGCTCACAAGACCTGTGTGACTCTGACCACGGTGCCTCTCCACTCCACTCTGACCACTCTGCTCCAGCCGCGTTGGCTGCTGCTCCCTGGGCTCGCCAGGCACATTCCTGCCTTGGTCTTGCACTGGCTGCTTCCCCACCCTCCTCCCAGACTCGTGTGGCCACCTCTTACCTCCTTCAAATGTTTGCTCAAATGTCAGCACTCATTGAGGTCCACCCTGGCTAACTTCATAATCTTCTTACCCAGCAATCCATACACAAACAGCACATTTGCTCAGCTCCCTTGAACCTGAGGTGGAGTCACTGCAACGTGCTTTGGCTAATTAAAATCGGTTCCTCCACATCCCAGTTTGCACCTGTTGCCCCAGGGAATTATTAATGGCCTTCCCTTTCACTTTTCAAGAGTGACCTGGTTTGGAGGAGAGCTTCTCTGGTCCTCCCAGAGAGTGTATGTGTCTGGCTCCCCCAGCTCTCTGCAGCTGTAGTTGGATGAAAAATAAACTGCTGATGGTTACTCCCTTTCTATTAATCCTTGGGATCCAGGTAGCAAAAATCTTTAGAATCTCCCCTAATTCTATTATTTTCTCTTGAAAACACACCAGCACATGTGTGCATAGCAGACACACAAACACACACTTCCATGATAATCTGTGGAGAGGGTGAGGTAAATTGTGTGAAAGCAGCTACTTGCTGTACTTCTATATGATTTTTAGCAATTTTCTTCATGCTACAGTTTCTTCAAATATCATCCATCATTCATCCAACTATACATCATTCCTTAGTCCACCCATCCATCCTTCCATCCATCAATCCATTCATCCACCTACCCATTTTTCATCCATCCACCCACCCACCCATCTACCTATTACCTATGTATCCAATAATCCATCCATCTACCCATCCACCCACCCACCTATCACTTATCTATCCAACAATCCATCCATCTACCCATCCATCCCTCCCTCCACCCATCCATCCATCCATCCTTCCACCCATCCACCTATACATCTGTCCATCCATTCATCTGCCTATCCATCTCTTCATCTATCCATCTACCCATCCATCCCTCCCTCCACCCATCCATCCACCTACCACCTATGTAACAATCCATCTACCACCCATCTCTTCATCCATCTACCCATTCATCCCTCCCTCTACCCATCCATCCATCCACCTATCCATCCACCCACCCACCTACCCACCCACCTCTCACCTATCTATCCAACAATCCATCCATCCACCCATTCATCCCTCCCTCTACCCACCCATCCACCTATCCATCCCTTCATCCATCCATTTACCCACCCACCCATCCACCTACTACTTAACCACCCATCCATCCACTTATCTATCCCTCTGTCTGCCCATCCATCTACCTATCACCTATCTATCCATCAATCAAACCATCCACCTACTCATCTCTCCTTTCTTCTACCCATCCATTCACCTACCCATTATCTATCCATCCATCCACCCACTCATTCATTCATTCATCCATTCACTCAACATTATTTTGCCTCATGGAGCTTACAGTCAAATAAGGGAGCTAGAAAGTAAACAGGCTACTAAGTGATTCAAATTCAGAAAAGTTCCATAACAGTCAGGGTGCTACAATGGAGAGTCATGGGAGAGGACCTTAGGGCAAGCAGAGAACCTGACTGAGGAGGAAGCATCTGAGACTGGAAGGATGAGCAGGCCTCGGCCTGGGAAGGCAGAGGAAAGAACATCTGCTTGAGCCCTATGGCATGAGAGCAGGGTGAGTGGTCTCCGGAGAGACAGTATGTCAGAGGAGTTTGGTGTCAGGGGCCTATGCTGGGATGTAAACATGATGGCATTTAGAGTCGTGGGAAGAAGTCACCACAACCCAAAAACCAATCCCAAGAAACTCACAAACAGAGGAGCCGCTGACCAAGAACAACAGGAGTGGCCAGAGAGGCAGGAAAACAGATGCCAAGAGCAGTCGGCTCAAGTAAGACAAAGGCAGAAAGGCCCCGCTAGACCTGGTGACATGAAAGGCAATGGGTGAAGGGTCAGCCAAGTGAGACAGAGTAGTCTAAAGAGGGAATAACCACGCATGAGTTCCCAGCAGAACCAGGAACAGAAGGAAACCTGACCTTGACAAAGCGTCTCTCTGAACCTACCATAAGTACAGTGGAACAAATAGGGGCATCACCATGCTTTATTTCCTCCCACTCTGCATCAGCGGTCTAGCCCAATGCAGAAAGGCACTAAGAATAAACGAGATACTTTGCATGACTAGAATCAATATGAGGGCTTAGCAAGCTGGCTAGATACATATTATCCAAAAGCTATTGGTGAGTAGTAACCAAGGAAAAGAGACTTCATCCAAACAACACAACGGCAGAGACCTTTGTGGGAAGGCAGTGACCCTTAGCCAAGGCCTGTGCCAAGAGACGCTGTGGAAAGGGGCTCGCTTCAGTCATTTGCTTGGTGACAATCCCTCCTTCATCTGGAAAGACATGGGCTTGATAAACTATTGCTAGTGTTTCCAGGGGATGGTAACATGTGGCCTTGGTCATTTCACCTCAGAGAGAAAGAGTTTATTAAAAGCTCTAGCAAAAGACGAAAGTGTCAAGTATAAAACATTCTGCAAAATGTTGTTCTTTGTTGTGAGAAATTACACAGGCCTCTTACGCTTTAACATTTTTATGAGCCTAGAGGAAGCTGCTTCACAATCAGGGTCCCGGACATAAAGAGCTGGACTTCTTCTCACCCCTAGTCTGTGATTCAGGGATAAACAAGCGTGCCACACCTGCTCCTTCTGGGACACCTATCATGGGTGGGCCACTTGTCATCTGCCTCTGTATGATGGGGCTGGAGTGTTTCTGCTACTCCAACTTTTTAATCAGAAGAAGAAAACTACATCAGCAAAGAGCTGATGCAGGTACCAATACTGACACTGAGTATTATTTAGCTAGAGAAGACAAACACATAACTTTGCTGAAAAATCTTTGACATATGTCAGTCTTTCAAAGTTCTGGATCCTTTGTTTATTGCCTTAAAATAAGAATCAGTTAATAAACTAGGGCTTATCAAGGAAAATGAAGTCTTCTTGATATTTTTATTAAAATCCCTAAAACAAGAGGATGAGGGAACCAGAGTAAATTGTAAGATAAACTATGTTTACAGAAAAGTCAGTATTCCAAAGATGTCAATTTTCTCTCTAACAAATATATAACCTGTAAGTCCATTTCATCTCAGTTAAAATCCTGAATGGATTTTCTCATGATGTTAACAAGAACAGTCAGTCAACAGGACCTTGCCCCACTAGATGTCTGGTCTTTGGACAGATATATACAGCAATGGAAGTATTGGGAGGAAATAAAGGATGAAGCATGGACTCTAAACCGTGAAGAAAGGTTTACATATACAGTGGAGTATTACTCAGCCTTAGAAAAAAGGAAATTGTGACACATGCTAAAACATAACATGAGTGAATCTGGAGGACATCACTCAGAGTGACATAAGCCAGTCACAAAGGATAAACACTCATGATTCCACTAATGACGACAGGAGGCTCCTGGAGCAGCCCAATTCATAAAGACAGAAAGTAGGTGGTGGTGCAGGGGTTGGGAGGATAAGGAGTTGGCATCTAGCAGGGCAGAGTTCTAGTCTGCGATGAAGAAGTTCTGGAGACAGATGGTGGTGTGGGTATACCACGAGGTGATGTACTTAATGCCACCGAATGGCACACTTAGGGCTAAGATGGTAATATTCATGTCATGTTCATTTTAACAGAAACATTTAAAAAACTACAACAAATGGCAGGAAAAATTAGCTGAAGTTAAGGCAACATTTATTAGATTTCATTGTAATCATGTTATAAGGCATAAGTGGTGATTATTCTTTTAGGGCCTTCTATAGTTGCATTTTTGTACAGAGGCACATTATATTTGGGGCAAATTTGGGAGAACCCACCTCTGGCATGAGCTGTTGTTCGTGGTAAGTGCATTTTTGCCCCGCCATGGAGGACCAAGCTCCACCATTGTTTCAGTGCAGGCATGGCCAGTGGCAGCAGGTGCTCTGAAGGCCTGTACATTCTGTAAATTCAATTTAACCTCAATTTAACTGTACTGTGGTCAGGCCGGCTCTGGTAGTGGGTCATAGGGCACCTTGGCCTCCTCATGCTGTGTTCTCGATGATGACTGCGATGCCCTGGCCACCTCCAATGCAGGCCGACCCAACCGCGAACTTTCCACCTCGACGCCTGAGAAAGAAAGCAGCAACTGAAATCTTCTCTAATACAAGATTAACATAATTAATTATATTAACTAATTAGATAGACTTAGTAACCAACTCATTTGCATTATTCATTCTTACTCAGCTCATCTGCTTAATCTTTTCCCTAGACCTAAATACTGGTTTATAGTTACAATAGGAATTTGGAAAGTAGAATACTTTTAGCCAAAAAAAAAAAAAAAAAAAGTAACAGAAGAGGGAGGCAACCCTAGAAAGAGCTGGGTAGATTTAGGGTTAGAGGAACTGGAACAAACACACAAGCTCAGGTGTGCGGGGAAGCAGTGAGAACAGGAGGGAATTCAGACACATGGGGGAAGGTGAGGGAGGGGAATGAACGCCCAGCCCCTTCGACTGATATGGTTTTACAGCCTCAGTGACACCTTAGAATAAATGCAATTAATGGAGTTTGTCCATATGAAAGGGCAGATAACTTAGAAACTTCTCATGTCCCTTTCATGAAAACTAGACTCTTCTAAAGTACCAGTCTTTGATACACTGATCTTGAAAAAATTATCCAGGAATTATTTGTGTGCATGTCAGTCACCCATTTCAACTCGATGAGTCATCAGGTAAAGTAAGAGTCCTGTCTACCCTAGCCTAACAGGGAGTCAGCCTGACATGTTTTTGTTTGCAGTTTCCTCCTTTAATGGTACAAAATACACAGTACCAGAAGGGGGAGCTCGTCGATCAAAACTGAACAGAACACAAACACACAGAAGGTCCCTCCTTGGGACCCAGGAAAAGAAAACATAGCTTAGACCCAAACCACCCGTTACTTAGGATTCTTTCTTTTTTTTTTGAGTTGGAGTCTCACTCAGTCGTCCAGACTGGAGTACAGTGGCTGCTTCTGGCCACCGCAGCCTCGCCTGCTGGGCTCCAGCAATCCTTCCGCCTCAGCCTTCCGAGTAGCCGGAATTACAGGCATGCGCTACCACGCCCAGCTGATTTTTTTGATTTATTGTAGAGATGAGGTCTCGCTGCCCAGGCGGGTCTTGAACCCGCGGGCTCAGGCAATCCACTCACCTCAGCCTCCCAAAGGCGCGGGATTACAGGCTGAGCCACCGAGCCTGGCAATAACGGCATCTAGGTAAGGAACCACTCAGAACTTTTTTGTTTTCCTAAATGAATGCATCTGACGTCCAAAATGCAAGTGCTGTGAGAACGAGGGCCTCAGCATCTGCTCACTGCTCTGCACTGGCTCCACGGTGGACACACGAGGAGTGGCCACACAGAGCCCGGAGCACAGACACGGAGGATGTGCTCTGGCCCAAGTGTAGTGTGCCCACAGGCCAACTGACTCATCTCTAAGGCCAGCTGAAAAGCATCACTCAGGCAACTGCTCCTGGTCGCAGAAAACACAGGAGTATGAGGAAGGAGGAGGAAAGATGTTCTGGAGAAGCCTAAATCCATGCATTTCTAGAAAAAGCTACAAATGTGAAATGCAGCACTATGCAGCAAGTACCGTAGTTCGTGAACTAGATGTGCAGTAATTCTTGATCCAGAGCTCCCCAACGGGTGACCCAAGGCAATGGCTCCTCCATTCACATTGGTTTTACTTGGGTCAAGATCCAAACTCTTCTCAACAGCCAAATACTGGGGAGCAAAAGCTTCATTCACCTGAAGAAAAATTAAAGTACACATAAAAGTCCTTGCTCATTAATTTTTGAAATAAGAAGGGTCCAGCATTGTCACTAGCTAATTCTGCTGTTCCTCCCTATTTAAATTACCTCACACAGTTATTTGAATTTATCTTTTATTTTGAGTCAGAGTCTCACTCTGTTGCGCAGGCTGTCATGCAGTGGCACGCTCACAGCCACAGCAGCCTCAATCTGCTGGTCTCAGGCGATCCTTCCACCTCAGCCTTCCAAGTAGTTGGAACTGCAGGCATGCACTACCATGCCCAGCTCATTTCTTGATTTATTGTAGAGACAAGGTCTCGCCATATTGCCTAGGTTGGTTTTGCACCTGTGAGCTCAGACAAGCCTCTTGCCTCCACCTCCCAAGTGCTGGGATTACAGGCATGAGCAACCACGACTGGCTGAATTTATCTGCAGTCGTTCTGCGTAAAGCTGTCAGGTTTGAAAATGGCTATATTTTCTTTTCTTTTTTTGGAGTTGGAGTCTCACTCTGTCGCCCAGACTGGAGTGCAGTAGCCGCTCCCGGCCACCGCAGCCTCGACCTGCTGGGCTCCGGTGATCCTTCTGCCTCAGCCTTCCAAGTAGCCGGAATTACAGGCATGCTCTACCATGCCCGGCTAATTTTTTGATTTATTGTAGAGATGAGGTCTCGCTGCCCAGGTGGGTCACGAACCCGTGGGCGCAGGCAATCCACTCACCTCAGCCTCCCAAAGGCGCGGGATTACAGGCTGAGCCACCGAGCCCGGCTTAAATGGCTATATTTTCGTGGCTGCATCATGTGTTGGTGTGCGACATGTGTACAGTCTTTAAGTTCTCTTTACACTCACATCTCCTCAATAGTACAACATGACTTTGATAAGAATCACTGTCAAGGTGAAACAAAATCGCAGGTATTGAGCACCTAGCATATTATCTGACACACAGCCAGTACTCAGATTATGATTATTCAGCAGTAGGAGCCATCCCTCCAGGAAGAAACCGAGACACATCAAAGAATGAGCCCTCAGAGCCAGATACATAGAGAGAGTGGTTGCTAGGTTGAATAGTGGCAGAACTGAAAAGTAGCATCTTGTCTTGAGAATTACCTTACTTTACATTTACAGTTCATAGGATCTTAGCTCGGGAATTGTATGGATAAGAAAACTGAGTCTGAGAAAGGTGGCTTTGCAGAGTTGGGATCAAATTGTAGCCTTGTGCTTGTCCCTGCCATGTTTTGTGCTCCCCCAAGATGGTACCTCACCTGTGCTCAGATCCAACATTACTTTCCTGCCTGATATGATCATCTTCAAGGAGGGGTGAGACCTAGAACATGTTGTGAAACTAGGAAAACTATGTTGTGAGCTACGTCCTTGAGCATTTATACATCTAAAACGATGAACAACTTTGCAGAACTGATATAGTTCAGCAGTTTGACGTGTTTAGTCTCAGGCCAGAAATGTAATGGTACATACTTGCTGACACAGATATGATAAATGAAGCACCCCTTCAGATTCTGAGCCTACTAAAAATGGAAGAAGAGATTTAAGGATAAACGATTTGTCTGAAACCATGGTTTCCTGGAGGAGAGATTGCCACAGAGGAAATAACACCTGTGCCTACCCCTGCCCCATCAATTTAAGCAGAAATTTCCTTTGTCCTATTATTTCCCAAGGCCAAGCAGCACATGCACAAATTTTTCAGATACTTCCAAAATGTGGAATGTACATAATGCTTGTTTAAGTATTTTCTTCTCTACCTCTTCTTTTAATTATGCTAAATGCTTAAGACACTTTTGTTCTAACACTTAAAAAAATCACTCTACCAATACATTTAAGTTTCTACTGTCAAAAATTATGATAAGTGTATCCCAAATCAAGCCACAACTATAGTGTAAAAGCCAAAGATAAGTTTGGGAGGGGTCACTAAACTCAGGGGGAAGAGCAAGAAATTTCTAGATTTGGCACTAGATATTGCTTTTCTATTAGGTCAATTCTTTTAGTATATTTTTTCATTTTAATCTATAAAATTAAGTTAGAGTTACTTACCTCCCAGCTTATATAAGAATAAGTCAACAGGTCTTTTTTTTTTTTTTTTAGAGTAAGAGTTTTATTTATTTATTTATTTTGAGTCGGGGTTTCACTCTGTCATCCAGGCTGGAGTATAGTGACACGACCCCAGCTCACCACAGTCAAGGCCTCCTGGACTCAGGAGATCCTTATGCCTCAGCCTCCCAAGTAGCTGGGACTACAGGTGTGTACCACATCTGGCGAAATTTTTGATGTTTTGTAGAGACAAGGTCTTGCTATGTTGCCTAGAGTGATCTTGAACGTCTGGGCTCAAGCAATCCTCCCACCTTAGCCTCCCAAAGTGCTGGGAATCAGGCATGAGCCACCATGCCCAGGCTTATAGGCATAGTAATAGTCTAAAATGTAATAGAGTTCTATAAAGTCCTAAGGAATTTCTAGGAATTTATTCTTTAGAAGGAGAAATCAGGCTATTTGAATTATTAAAATGTAAGTAAAGTATTTCAATCAAGTAGGGACAAGGCATATAAGGACTGAAACAAAAAGAGCTATAAAATACCAAATGAAAGCCATCTATGCTACAAAAGTATGTGGTTTATTCATACTGTAAAAAAAGAACACTCACCTCTACCAAATCCATGTCCTTAAGACCCAGTCCTGCTTTCTTCAGTGCCCCACTGATAGCAGGGACAGGACCTGCATAAGAATAAAAATCTTATATAGAAACAACTGTCATCTTTATTTATATAGCCAACTTCTCCTTTACTAAACAAGTAAGGAAGAAACCAGGTGACAGTTATCAGCAGCCACAAATTGTGGCTACCCTGACAGTACACGCTAAATGATGCTATGGTGAACAGTGGCAGAACTGAAAAGTAGCATCTGGTTATGAGAATTACCGAACTGCAGATAAGAGAATGACATGAAAAGTTCTACCATAAACAGCTTTAACATTTCAAACAGCCAAAGGAGTCATGGGATTTTATGGTCAGCTGTAGATCATGCTTGGCATCAAACAGCAAGGCAGACTGCTGCTCTCCTGGGACATAAACCATATATGCATTCATGCACAGAAGTGGCTGTGGATACACTGAATTTTCAGGCCCATTTGGAAAAAGGCAAAGGGCAGAGAAAGACGGGAAACTAGGAGGCACTTTAGGGAAAGATGTGAAGTGAGGAGATGTTTGCAACTTCAAGGGTAGGCAGAGAACTTAAGTAAAACATAACCACAAACTCAAGAAAGGCAAATCCACCTAATACGACTTCTGCAATAAACTTTAGCTCCCAGATCTCTGATGGCCTACCAATGCCAGTTTAATATTGTTCATAATCTTAAATCCATATTTTTCTCCAAAAGGTAGAAAATCTGGCTTGGGAACATTATCTCTCTCTCCATCTTGGAGAATAATACTGCCATCAGTGTCTACAAAGGAAAAAAATACATGGTATGTTCTGTTGAATTCAAGTAATCAAACCTTCTGCAAAAAGTTTCACAAGCATACCTAAGATAAAACGGGAAATCAGTCTTTACAAGAAAAGCATACTGAAATCTAAACACAACGTTAATCCCTCTTGTTGCCCCATTAAAATACTCTGTGGACAACAGTCTGTTTATTGATTAGAGCCATCTAGTGAATGCTTTTCCATGCAAAGCACCAGTTCTGTTTGGCTCCTGATTTGACACAGACTCTAACTCCAGATTCCGTCTAAGACACACAAGAACGTAATGGGGAGTCAATGGCAAAGTTTCAGTCATCCTATCCGGTCAGGGGGCAGAGCAGCATCCAGGGGTGCGAGACACACCGGAGAGGGTGACAGTGCGAAGACCCTGGGGCACACCTCCCGTCCTTATGTCCTCATGAACAACCCAGCAAGCATGACTCAGTGTATTCATGTGAACTTGGAAGCACTGCAGCCGACTGTCACAATATGCTAGATTGTAACTGAACTTTTAAAGGCCTCTTCCCAGACCACTCTTATTTATTGGGACTCAGGAAGGTCTAGTATTCTTGTCGGGAAAAGGAGACCTTATTTCTTCTAGTCCTGACTCCTGTCACTAACAGCTGTGTGACTTTGGACAACTCTTCAGGCATCAACATCTCATCAAAAGTTTTCTGAATGTTCAGCCTTTTTTGTCTTTAAGCACAGATGCTTTCTACAAAGCCTAACAACAGGTAAAGTCAGAGCAGCTCCAGCTGGAGAAGCTCAAAGCTCCACCCTGCCTCACCTTTGCCACTCGAGGAGTTCCCAGACTGTTTTTCTGAAATTGTGCACTTCCTCAGAGCCACTGCTGTTGTCTTCGAGTCCGGGCTATCCTCGTTTCTGGCCTGCAGCTATCCTGCAGGGTTAAGGATTGCTATGCACTAGATAACTGCACAGTTGAGGGAACTACTATTCTCAAAAAATTGGATGGACTAATCACTAGATTTTCCCTGGCATTCACCTGGAGTGCTTCTAGCACTGATCTTGTTCCATCCCATACTACATGTAAGTGACAGACAAGCTTCTAGGTTGGAGGGCCATCTGACATTGTGGGACAATTGCCAAGTGTAGCTCGATTCAAGCCCTGAAGAAATGACAGCGCTTCCCCAGTGGCATTCATTGTACTTTAAGCAAACATCAAGGCTTGGGGATAGAAGGAAGGAAAACCACATTTCCCTTGCTCACTGGCTATGCTAATCTGTCGGAATCTGTAAGTGATGTTAAACTGAAAAGTATAAAATAACTAACCTATATCAACTTGTTTGATCATCAAAAGCATCCGGGTATGTGGAAAAGAAAAACAAACCTGTGTTTGGGTGCCACTCTGGACCTACTGAAACAGTTTTGGGGGTGACATCATGGGTGGATTTGATAATCATCTGGGGTTGGGAACCACTGCTCTAGATACCAAAATGACAAATGCCTTAACAGTATTCAGGTGTTTAATTTTTCAGCCACCTTCCATTTCTAAGCCAAAGCTATTTTTTGCCAATAGTTTTGAGTAGCTTAAAGCTAATAAGCTTTTACGACGATACCAGACAAAAATTCGCTTTCAACAGATGTCTAAATGTCTTGCAGTTCTTGCTGACATACATTTGAGACACACAGTGAAAGATGACATGGGATGAACATGCCAGCTTCTGTAGGAATTCTGTACAGAGATAAGTCTTATCTGAAGGACATGGCAGCGAATGTGGTTAAGTAGTAACTGAATCCCAAATCAGCGTAAGTGGTATTACTTGACAGTATGTCATAACAGGTTATCCTCCTTACATCTTGGGACCCACCTCAAAAAACAATTTGTTAATCAAAAAAAGGCCTATGCTGATAGAAAAAGCTTTGGTCCTATAAACACTCTGAAATTACCCTAGACAGGCTTTTCCTCAGGGTATGAGGCTATGGGTGGGATAGATCAAAGCCTCTGAGTACCAATTCTCGTTCTGTAAGTAAGGCATCTAATTAGTTTCCTGTTCCCCCAAAGAATAATGATAGGAACTCTTAAAATTCAGCAACATTTTTTGGTTTCCAGGGGTGCAGCTAACAAAAAGTTCTGTTTTACTTCTTTCACCCCCTTTTAAAAACTTATTTTATTTCAAGATGTGGGGTACAATTCAGGATTAGGTACTTAATTGGTCAGTGTACAGGTAAAGTTTGGAACTCCCAGTGGTCCTCATTTCGCCTGATTCAGGATCAGGTACACTTATTGATGTTATGTGTAACCCCCTCTCTCCTCTGGCTGTGTCCTGCTACTGCCAATTCCTTTCTTGTAGTATTATGATAAATGTTCAGGGTCCACTTATAATTGAGAACATGTGACACTCAGTTTTTGTTTCTGTGACAGATCACTGAGTATGATGTATCTAAATCCATCCAAGTTGCTGAAAAGTCCATAATTTTGTCCTTCTTTATTTCTGTGTAATATTCCATTATGCATATGTACTTTTTTATTTTTGAGTTGGAGTCTCACTCAGTCACCCAGGCTGGAGTGCAGTGGCACGTTCATGGCCACCCTAGCGTTGACCTGCTGGGCTCTGATGATCCTTCTTCCTCAGCCTTCCAAGTAGCTGGAACTACAGGCATGTGCTGCCATGCCCGACTAAGTACCACATTTTTTTTATCCAGTTCACTTTCAATGGGCAGCACGGTTGGTCCAATGTTTTGCTATTGTGAATAGTGCTGCAATAAACATGCATATGCAGATACCCTTTTTGTAGAATGATTTGAGTTCCTCTGGATATATTCCCAGAAGGGAGATTGCTGGGACATATGGAAGGTTGATTTTTAGATCTTTTAGAAATCGCCACACTGTTTTCCACAGAGGTTATATTAGTTTACACTCCCACCAACAGTGTAGAAGTGCTCCCTTTTCCCCACATCCTCTCCAGCATCTGTTGTTTTTTTGAGTTATTGATGATGGTCATCTTGACTGGAGTTGGGTGGTTATCTCATTGTGGTTTTGATTTGCATTTCTTTGATTAGTGAGGCTGAGCATTTTTTCATCTATCTGTTGGCTGTTTGTATGTTTTCTTTTGAGAGGTGTCTATTCATGTCTTTTGCTCACTTTTAAATAGGGCTCTTTCTTTTTTTCTTTTTGGCACGTTTGAGTTCCTTGTAGATCCTGGATGTTAGACCTTTGTCAGATATACAGTTGGTAAATATATTTTCCCATTCTGTGGGCTGTCTCCCCCTTCTCTAGATGGTTTATTTTACTTTGCAGAAGCTTTTCATTTGATGAGGACTCACTTGTCTATCTTATCTCTTACAGCATGAACTTTCCAGGTTTTGACTAGGAATTGATTGACTGTTCCAATGTCTGTAAGGGTGTCTCCTGCATTTTCTAAGATTCTTACAGTTTGAGGTTTTACATTTTGGTCTTTGATCCATTTAGAGTTGATTTTTGTGTATGGTGATAGGTAGGGGCCCTGTTTCATTCTTCTGCTGCTCTGCTTATAATTCATATTTTTCAAGCCAAGACCATACATGTTTGTAGAGAGTTCCAAACTTTCTCCAGCTAGTATTTTGCCAATCTAGATAACTGTTTATAACTCTTTATTTTGGTAATAATCCTCAGCAGAGTCAGACACATGTTGTTCCAACTTCCTGAGACAAAGTGTTTAACCCACAGAGAAAGGAACACCTGAATAAGAGGCCTGGACTCAACCCCATTTCATCTCTCACTGGCTTGGAACCCTGCGAGATAACCCCCCAAAGCCCCAGTTTTCTCGCTCACCAAGAGTCTTTTCTCCATTATGTGTAGAGTTGTGGGGGATCGAGCGGGGTACATCAATGACTGTGAATGGCAGGGAGCAGCAGGTCTACCTTCTCCATGCAGCCTTCTGTTTCACTCTATGATTGTTCCCACCTCATAATTTCTTTTATCGTGTTAGGGTCATGTATTCTTCTGTTATTTACTGCATGCTTTTTTTTGAGTTGGAGTCTCACTCTGTCGCTCAGGTTGGAGTGCAGTGGCACACTCACGGCCACTGCAGCCTCAACCTATTGGGCTCAGGCGATCCTTCTGTCTCAGCCTTCCCAGTATCTGGAACTACAGGTGCATGCTACCACACCCGGCTCATTTTTTGATTTATTGTAGAGACAGGTCTTGCCAAGTTGCCCAGGTGGTTCTTGAACCCATGGGCTCAGGCAATCCTTTTACCTCAGCCTCCCAAAGTGCTGAGATTATAGGCATGAGCCTGGCCTGCATGTTATTTTTAAAACAGCTCAAATGAACTTTAAGAGATGATTATTGCCACAAGAAGTCTATATAGTCTTGGTTTTCCTACTTTGTCTAGGATAGTTCTTCATAAAGATTTTTGTTTAAATGATGGATTATCAATCTTTTTTCAACAAGTGACCTTGATGTGGCTACTTTTTCAGGGCTCTGAATTACAAAGACAACTTATCTCCAGAAATATAATAGGACCAGTTTGTTTCACTATAAACTTACCAATACCCATGATAGAGGGATCGCATCCAGACACAAAGTAGCCCACAATTCTTGCCAGTGGTGTGAAGTCGTGTTTTTTAATAGCATCTTCACTAGCTATGATAACAGCTCCAGCACCGTCAGATATCCCCTTGAAAACAAAAACAGTAGATTAACTCGAGGGTAAAATAATCCAGTTAATTCAAGGTCTGAGCCAATGGAGCTGTATCACTAAAGGAGTAGTGTTAGGAATGTGGCAGCACATAGCAGTGCTAGAGCATGGCATGAAGGGGACACAACTAGGACTAGCGCTACTCTGGTGGATTAAGGGGTTTGCTTTTTTTTTTTAAGAGATGTAGTCTTGCTATGTTGTCTAGGCTGGTCTCGAACTCCTGGGCTCAAGGAATCTTCGCAACTTAGGCTCCAAAAGTGCTGGGATTACAGGCATGAGCCACTGTGCCCGGCTGGTTTTTTTAAGGCACAGAATATAACTTCACCAAGAGAAAATAGAAAAGAATGTTAAGAAAACACTTATATACAGGTGTGGGTATATGTAAGAAGAAATTTGATGAACTGTATATATGTGAAAACCAAAATAATAAACCAGGCAGATTACTTTCCAACATTCTGAACAAACCAAGACATCAGAACAGTATTATACAAGGACCCCAGCTAAGATATTTTGTGTTGGGCCAGAATTAAGTGAATATGATCACTACTAGTTCAAGCTAAGTAACTAAAGACAAGCATGAGAAGATCTTCAAGACACTCCACTATTGCTTTGCGCTGAACATGTCAGGGAGAGTTCCAGCTGATCCATGCATGGATACCAACCGATGCGTTCCCTGCGGTGACCGTCCCGTCTTTCTTGAACACTGGAGGAAGTTTGTGTAACTGCTCCAGGGTTGTCTGGGGACGGGCGTGCTCATCTATTTGCATTGTCTGTTTTCCTTTCCTCGTCTTCACTTCAATTGGTACCAACTCTTCATTAAAGTAGCCAGCTTCATTAGCTGAAATAGCAGAAAGACTGCCGTAAGAACAAACAAAGAGAAACATGAAAATAAATCAAACATATTCGTCAATATAACTTCTGGTCTCCCCTCTCCCCACCGTCGACTTTAATGAGACTTTATACTTATACAACTCACCTTTCCTGTCAGAGAATTTAATATACTATCATGTGTCTTTGCAGACACACTTTATAGCTATTAAAAATCATATTTCAATTTTTAACAGTAATTTTTTTTTAATGCTAGACTGTTAGCTGTGTCTGTCTGTTAACTATAGACGTAATGGCACTAAATGATTAATGGCCCTTTTCAACTTCTTTTGGTGAGATAAAAATTAAAAAGTTACAAGTTGTCTATGTCATGCAGTAATCTATGACTGAAATTTAACATTGATAGGCAACCTGAAATTACATGAACTATCATGGATATGATTATAAATAAAACATCTTACCTGCTTTAAGCTCCACTGATTAGAATGGACTTTAGGAATCTATAGCTTCAGAAACAGTAAATCAGGAATAACACTATCATAATTTTGCCATCACTTTGCAGTTGGCAAAATACTTCTCTTATATGACCCTATTTGGTTTTACAATAACCCTATTAGATAAATAGGAAAGTAAATATTGCTATCTTGATTTTATAGATGCTCAGTGAACAAATTACTTGATTGGGGCCAGATCACTTATACATGGCAGAACTAGAAACAGAACTGACAACTCTTGATTTCTGGACCAATCCCTGTCACTGTAAAGTGTACACCTGAAAGGCACAGATGGGTTGGACTCTACTCATCCCTCTGAAATGCTAAGATTAACTTTAGCCTCAATACTTCAAGCACTTAATTTCCCTAAGGAAGAGTTTCTGCTTGCTTATAACAGTTACATTTAAAAAATATTTTCTAGAAGACTAATGCATGTTTTCATTTTGCCATATTGATAGAAAAACTACTGTTGCATTGCTCATTTTGGACTGGCTCAGTGGCAACGTGTGGTGTTACACCAGGACACTGCAGCTGGGTCTTCAACTAAACTAGCTAGAAGTTGCTGAGTGCAATGATTCTCAATGAGGAACAGGAGAAGGACATTCCGAAAGCATACCCCATGTGTTTTTTCCACACATGTCCCCCCATCCCTTGTAATTATGACACAGCTCATGGGGAAGACACCCTCCTGATTCCAACTGCTGCAGTGAGCCATCAACTCTGATGGAGTGAACCATGTCTCCTAGTGTGCTCTACTAACAACAGGAACAATTTAGGACACAATCCAAGTAAGTATTAACTTTTTCAAAAGAGAACTTTCTGGTGAAGTTTGCAATAATGAATAGAATGTCTGATCACCTAAAAGCAAAGGAATAATGAAAAGATGTAATTTTCAAAGGTATAACTTATAACTAATATATGATCATTATAATTTGAAGTGGTGAAACTTTCCTATAGACACTTTTTCTATAGACATTGGTATCATCCAATTTCACTGACCAGCTTTCCACCTCTGCTGTGACTGCAGGGCATATTTGTCACATTCTTCTCTGCTTATTTTATGTTTTGCAGCAAGATTCTCTGCAGTGATTCCCATGGGGAGTTGGATATGCTGATCTGTTAATCCTGCCCATAAAGAATCTTCCAGCTATCAAAAGACATTAATAAAGTGATTTGTTAAAACATCATCTTTCTAAAGTAACATAGCTTACTTAAATTTAAATAATCAACAGTTCCAACGAACAAAAGTAAAATTAGACTTTCTGATAAACATTTGATATTACTATTCATATTTGGCTTTGGGATAGTTTTAAAAAACATTAAATGTCACACAATAAAATGCATACATTATCTCTCTAAATGTGGGGCTCCAAAGGCAACCAACAGTACTAAATGTACAGAGTGAGACTGCAAGAAGTTACCTACAACCAAAAATTAAGTCCTCAAGGTTACAATGTGTCGGAAACCCGACAATGAGTCCTCATGCAATGTCTCCCTGTAGCCATTTTTGTGACCCTGTTAGGAGCTCTGTAGGAAAGCATGTATCTGTGTTCTCTTTTCATCCCATGCCTTCAGGGACAGGAAAGTTGGTTCTATCAGTCACTGAGAGGCTGAAAAGAACCTGGGACAGACTCCTGGCATTACAGAAAGGGTGCAAATCAACCAGCAGGGAGAGGCTCTGATAAGTTGCCCAATTTGCTGCCCCATCAACACTGAGTCACTGACCTATCTTTGAAACAGATTTCTCAGATAAACTATTTTAGCTGGCTAAAACACTGCTAAAATAACTCATATTCTCAAAGCCTCACTCCTTGCAACTTCCAAAAAGGTCAGGTGAGAAACTGGGTGAACGGTGTAAGTCGAACATTACTACTGAAAAATGCTATAAAAATACGAAACGTCATTAGCGCTTTCATATGGGAAAGAGAGCATAATATTCTTTATTAGTAGTGTGCTATCATTCTCATGTTGTAGCTCTCAAAGATGAAAGAATCAGTTTTCGTGATTTGGGACAATCCAATCTGTTTTCAAAGATGTTTTCTATGATGAAGAAGAAATCTATTCTGAGATTACCCCTGGAATAAAATTTCCATATGCCATGGTAAAGACTTGATTACTCAGATTACGAATTATTTAGTAGAGAGATTAAGTCACTTTTTTACTAGTCTTTTTAATCCACTTCTTCTCTCCCACCATCTCTCCCATGCCTATGGTCACTTATAGGTGTTAATTCCACTAATAGAGGTATGCTGAGATACAGTCTAATTTTATGTGGGTTTGTGCTGAGATAGAGTCTAATTTTATGTGGGTTAAAATGTCAATACTAACAACCAAAATAGTGTTTGAAATAGTTCACAAACTTCAAATCATTCACATCTTGCCAATCCTCATGAACGAAATTGGTTTTAAAATGTTTTTTCTCCCATAAAAAGTCATGTTATTAAAATTACTTGTATAACAGCATAAGACATAATTCTTAAACATTTTAATGACTCCAACCTTGAGATCTGTTCCAAGTGCTGTTCCAAAACGCACATTTCTGACGCAGTAAGGAGACTGGCTCATGCTTTCAGTCCCTCCACACAAGACAACTTCAGCATCTTTCACACTAATTTCCTGTTTAAAACGAAAGAACAAACCCTTTTTCTATACCCAAAGAATGTATTAAGAAGTACACAGATTTTACAAATTAATGGTAATGCTAATAAATACTGTACTCTAGCTTAGTGTCTTAAAAGGAAATGTTTTTAATGTAATGCTGAAGCAAATGCCAAAGTCTCCATTCTTAAGATGCAGGGGGAGAGAACTAATAGATTTCAATCATTTCCACCTGAGCAAAAGACCCTACCTACATTTTGGCTAAGAACAGGAATTCTTAATTTAGTACAAACCTAGAAAATTAGCAGAGATATTAGTGTCTGGCATAAAAATGCAGAAGACAATAAGGAACAAACTCTTTAACATAGCAAAAGAAAAAGGCATCTTATTAAAGGATGCACTTGAAGGAGACCAGAGGGTTACAAGAGTTAGGTGGGGGGGGTGAAATCCCTTTTATCCTTCCAACTCTTCCCACTGTTTGCATTTCTCAGAAAAGAAGTCAATAACAAGGCACCAAGAACTTAAGGTTCAAAATTATTGCTAGATGGGCAGGGTGTGGTGGCTTATGCCTGCAACCTCAGCACTTTAGGAGGCTGAGGAAGGAGGACTGCTCGAGCCCAGAAGTTCGAAACCTGTCTGGGCAACATAGCGAGATCTCATCTCTACAAAAAAAAGAATAAAAAAAAACTAGCCAGATATGGTGGTGTATCGCTGTAGTCCCAGCTACTAGGGAGGTTGAAGTGGAAGGATCACCTGAGCCCTGGAGGTTGAGGCTGTGGTGAGCCGTGATCACACACTGGGGCAAAAAAGTGAGACCCTGACTTAAAGAAAAATTGCTAGGAAAACCAGGGTCATCTTTTAAGACATATTACTATAGAAATAAATTATTATGAAAATAATTTATTCATTATATGTCTGTGTCTCTTGTAATAAAGGAAGACTTTTATACATAAATTAGATTCACTGTACTTTCTTCCCCTGTGTTCAAAGAAACAAACATATTTGACCCAACTGTCCTTTAAAAAGGTCAAACTGGTTTGTACTTCTACCAACAGCATCAATCAGTTCCTTTGTAATAAAACACCTTCTCTTATCATCTCCTAAATTCTTCAATCCTCCTACTTGCCTCACTGTTTACTCAGTACCTCATAGGTAACTCTCATAGACAGGGGCTCAAATTCTGCTTCTATGACTCAGTAACCTTAGTGTCTTTCATAATCAGTTTCCTGGCCTGTAAAATGGGAATGCTAGTTCTGGCTTCATGGAATGGTCGTGAAGATTAAATGAGATGTTGGATGCGAACCTAGCATAGTGCCTGGCACCTAGGAAGCACTCAGTAAGAATGATGAACATACCAGCTTTTTTTAAGAAACAAAACTGACAAAATGTGCACAAAATGTCCCACCCTAACCATTGTTAAGTGTACCCAGTTCGAGTCATTAAGAGCATTTGCACCGTGTGCTATTATCACCACCACCCATCTCCAGAGGCTTTTCATTCTGCAAAACTGAAACTCCATACTCAGACGTGAACTTTCCCTTCTCCCTAACCCTGGAAACCACCATTCTACTTTCTGTCTCCATTATTTGACTACTCTGGGTACCTCATATGAGTAGAAGCATATGGAATTTGTTCTTTTGTGACAGGCTTATTCCACTTCATTATTAACTTTCAAGAAACAATTTTGTTCCTGAGTATTTTTCTAAGAAAAATCAAACACCAGCATCTCCGAATCTGCACTATAAGATAAAAAAGCTAAAGTGTGATACTGAGGTGGGACATTTCTTCTCATAATGTTAACATATCTTAGAGAATTAAATAAAATGGGAGTCATACCTGACACCCATTCACGATGGACTGGAAGCCAGAGCCACAGAGCCTGTTAACCGTGAGAGCTGGCGTCTCCTTTGGGATTCCCACTCGCAAACCAACGTGCCTTGCCAGATAGGCAGCATCTGAAGAACTCTGGGACAGAGAAAGGGAGAAGAAAAGGAGCCTCCCCTGTAAATCTAGGAATTAAGAACAAGCACGAAATACATCGAAACACTGGCAATCTATCCAAAATGCTAAACTATATGGCTCTGAGTAGGTACAATGCGTAGAGGAACAGCATAGTAAGTACAAAATGTGTTTATGATTTGAATTAAGACTATAATTTGGTCAATTGGGCTTTTCCCTGTTGTGGTAAAATACACATGACACAAAATGTACCATCTTAACCATTTTTAAGCATACAGTTCAGTGGTATTAAATACATTCATATGTTGTGTAACCACAATCAACTGGTTTTCAAACATACTGTGATGGCTACATAGAGAAATCCTAGTAAACTCTTAATAAAGACAGAAATTCATAAGAGTTAGAACTGTTTAAAAATAGGTAGGCTATGTCAAAGTGGCACATTCCTTAATAGAGGCTATGGTTCTCAACCATGGTGCGGGTGTAATAACCCGGAAGCTTTATTCACAAACTCATGTTTAAGCTCTTCAGCAAACCCATTACATTGGAAAGCCTGGGGGTGGGACCTGGGCATCACAGTGACTTTTAAAAGCATCCCAAGTAATTCTAATGTGCAACAGGCTGAGAACTGCATACTTAGGGAGAGGATACTGGTCAGAAGAGTAAGGGGAGGACTAGACCACTGCTTCCAAATGCATACTGGGGTGTCTTGTTATAATTTAGGTTCTGAATCAGTAGGTTGAGGTCTGTCTGAGAGTCTGCATTTCTAACTATTTCCCTGGTGAAGTTGATGTTGCTTAGTCCAAGAACCACACTTTGAGGAGAAAGGGATAAAATGACTTACAAAACAAAAATAATAACAGCTTTTATTGTAGAGAGCTAAAGCAAATTTGACAAAATGTAAAAAATTGGCCCATCAAGGCAAAGGGCTTTAGAATGTTCCTTGTACAATTCTTTTAATTTGTATAGGTTTGAAATTTTTCAAAATAAAATTCAACAAATTCAGCACATTTATAGGTTAAGGGTTCTGAATGCAGATGAAATTGGGGGGAACTCAGAATAATGTGAAGTATTCACTAGCTCAATGTTTCAGTTGTTGATTGAGATGAAATTATCTTCTCTTATAATTAATGTCATCAAAAGATATTCTTTTAGCCAAGGTTTGTCTGTTTCAGAATTATTTCTCTTATGATATTCTGTAGTGTACAGATTGGTAAAATAGGTGTTTTTAGAAAAGATGAAAGATTGATATGGGGTAGTGGGAAGACATCAGGCTAGGAGTTGGGAGATATGTACTCTACCATTCCCTATTGGCATGGGCTTTGATTTATCTGACTCTCAAGTTTCTCCATTTGCAAATTAGGCACTTGTCAAATCCATTTGCAGAGGCATATGCAAATGGATTTGACAAGAACCTAATTTGTAAGTAGAGGAAGAGATGATTAAATCTGTGTCTGTCTTAGTCTGCTTTCTGTTGCTTGTAACAGAATACCTGAAACTGGTTAACTTAAAAGAAAAGGAATTTATTTCTTACAGTTCTGGAGGCTAAGTTCCAGGTTGAGGGGCTGCATCTGGTCAGGGCCTTCTTGCTTGGTGGGGATTCTCTGCAGAGTCAGAGCCTCATATGGTAAGGGGTCTGAGTGTGCTATCTCAGGTCACTCTTCTTCTTGTAAAGCCACCAGCTCCTCTCCCATGGTAACCCATTTTCTCATCACTTAACCCCACAAATGACTTTTAAAGTCCCTCTTAATACTAAGATACTGAGAGCTGAAGAAAGAGCTAGTATAGGAGGAAGAACACAGAATTGGAAGGTAGGAGACCTTCTACCTCAAGATTGTTCTGGACTACCTGTGTCAAGCAGAGCAAGTCTTTGAGACCTCTCTGGAGGCTTCCTCATGTGTTAAAAGAGGGCTGAAGTTTTACAAAATCTCTATGGTTGCCTCTAACTTTTGAACAGTTCATAAATCTTACTTAGAACTTATCTTTTAAGCTGGGAGGCCTAGGCAAGTGGATTGCCTGAGCCTGCGGGTTTGAGACCAGCCAGGGCAACTTGGCGAGACCTTATCACTACAATAAATCAAAAATTAGCCAGGTCCGGTAGTGTGCACCTATAGTTCCGGCTACTTGGAAGGCTGAGGCAGAAGGATCGCCGGAGGAGCCCAGCAGGTCAACGCTGGGATGGACGTGAGCATGCATTCCAGCCTGGGTGACAGAGTGAGACTCCAACTCAAAAGGAAAAAAAAAAGATCCATCATATTATAAAGCTATTTTCATGTATCAGAATCCTTAGAATACCATAATACCTTTACTATGGTGATGGCTAATTTTGGCTGTTAACTTGACTGGATCAAGGAATACCAGGAGAACTAGTAAAGTCTTATTTCTGGGTGTGTCTGTGAGGGTATCTCCAGAGGAGATCGGCATGTGAGTCAGAATGGACTTAGAAGTGAAGATCCACCCTCACCGTGGGTGGTACCATCTAATCCGCCAGGGGCCCAGAGAGAACAAAAACAGAGGAAAGGCGAATTGGTATCTCCCTCTCATAGAGCTGGAACACATTCTTCTTTTCCTGCCTTCAACATCAGAACTGTAGGCTCTCCGGCCTGTTTATCTTTTATATAGTACTTCTACTGTGCCTTTTCTATGTCTAGACATGTTTAGATATGCACTATTTTACCATCGTGTTACAACTGCCTGCAGTATTCAGTACAGTAACATGTTGTGCAGGTTTGTGGCCTAGGAGCAATAGTCTACACCCTATAGCCCAGGAGTGCAGCAGGTTAGACCATCTAGGTGTGCATACGTGCACTCTATGAAGCTCCCGCACTAAGAAACTGCCAAAGATCCATTTCTTGGAACATATCCCGTTGTTAAGCGACCTATGACTGCATATGTGGCCCACTGGTTCTGTCTCTCTGGAGAACCCTAATGCAAACACCAAGAACTTTGACACCTCTCAAAATAGTGAGGACATAAAAAATGCAAATTCAAAATGCAGTGGATCCTCACTAGTCAGAGATTCTGCATTTTCAAGTTACCTGCTTGCTAAAGTTTAGATTGTGACTCCAAAATCTATACTTGCAGTACACTGGCAGTCATTCAGACACGTGTAGAGTGGTGGGACATTTGAGCTGCTTGATGCATACAGATCCAGTGCGAGCTTTCATACTGTACACAAGTGTCCCTCCTGCAATCTATTCCTTGCCATGTTACCAGCATTTCTGTGCTTTCCTTGGTGGTTCTGCTGTTTAAAATGGCCTCAGAGCATAATGTTGAAGTGCTGTTTAGTATTCCTAACATAAAGGAAGGCAGTGATATGCCCCATGGAAAATATGCATGTTAGATAAGCTCCATTCAGGCATGAATTGGCTGTGGGTGTAATGCTAGCAAGTCAACAATACATATTAAATAAGGTGACTTGAAATATAAACACACATAAAGTTATGCATTGATATGTATTGACTGGTTAATGAAAATGTTACTAGACCTTGCAGGAACCTAATTCTTTCATGATAAAAAACACTTGGCTAACTAAGGATAGAAGGCAACTTTTCAACCGAATAAAGGGCATCTATAAAATACCCACTCACAGCTATCATCACACCTAATGGTGAAAGACTGGATGTGTTTTCCCTAAGATCAGGAATATGACAAAGATATCCATATCTTTACCTTAGGGACTAAGACAAAGATATCCACTTCAACATGAGAGACTCTAGCCGGGACAATTAGGCAAGAAAATACAAAAAAATCCAGATTGGACTTCATTGTTTCCTAAGAAAACTGTACAACTCATTTATTTCAAGTAATATTTAATAATATTAGAAAAGTAGCTCTGAGATATTTGTCAAATGCTATTTGGAGCCTATTCTGTTCTCTTCTAGCCATAAAGACCTAACCTCTCAAATATTTATCCATTAATGCAAGAAAGATTGTCTTTAGGAACAGAGACACCAACACTATGAAATTGATACTACTTATAGTAACTCTGTTGTAAAATTTGACAGAATCTACACTGGGGAAAAACAGAAGGACTTTAGAGGAAAAAAGTTCCTTTTAAATAAAGTCTAGGAAAACAAAACAAAACCCAAAAGTATCCCACTTCTATTTGATCTGTTCTAATGCCTTCTCAGGTCAGAGGTAACAGTTACAAAAAAAAGTGAAAAAAAAGATGATTTAATATCAATGATTCTTTATGAAAATACTTTAGGTTCAACAGACACAACTGCAAAAGGAAAAATGTCCACTTATTCTGGATGTGAAGATATACAATGGCGAGATGGTCAGAATCAGGTTCAGTGTAGAGGCCTGGTGATTTTCTGTGACCATTGTTTTACTCTATTTCCTTTATTAATAAACACATCGTTGACATCTTTAAAAAATACATTATCTTATTTCCTCCATTACAGTATAACCTCCTTTTGGTCCACTTTGGGTACTTAATATTCTTCTGCTGCACCTCAACTAGTCTCTATAGGAACCCAATAAATGTTTGTATACTTTGAAGGCATTCCAAGCTTTCGATTACTTGCATGTGAAGGATCTATTTCGTGCACTACCCATAGCAAGATCAAGGACAAGGAAGCTTCTTATTTCCTACAACAAATTCTGACCAAGCTCTTACAATGTGTAGGAAATCACGAGAGGTGTGTGTTTTTTTTTTTTTTTTTTTTGAGTTGGAGTTTCACTCCTTCGCCCAGATTGGAGTGCAGTGGCCGCTCCTGGCCACCGCAGCCTCCACTCGCTGGACTCCAGCGATCCTTCTGCCTCAGCCTTCTGAGTAGCCGGAATTACAGGTGCCTGCTACCACGCCCAGCTGATTTTTGATTTTACTGTAGAGATGAGGTCTCGCCAAGTTGCCCAGGCGGGTCTCGAACCCGCGGTCTCAGGCAATCTACTCACCTCGGCTTCCCAAAGTGCGGGATTACAGGCTGAGCCACAGAGTCCAGCCGGGAGGTGTGTTCTTTACTTGGGTTTGCTACCCTCCGGAGTTGGCACAAAGAGAAAACCAATTAACCACAGATAAGTCAAGGAAGTCAACCTGCTATTTAAGAACCAATGAAATGCATCCCAAGTCAGATAGATATTCAGTTTCCAGAATGTTTGCTACTTTGAATTATGCATGCCACTGAATCTGGAGTCAGAGGATTACTCACATCACAAATGTCAACTACCTGGAACAATTATTAAGTTGTCTGCCATTATTACATGTTAAAGAAATGATGTTTAGAAACTGGTCAATGAAAGCAACAGGAATGAACACCTCCCTCCACCCTACCAACCTGCATGACGTTGCCTACAATGACACTGTCAACAACTTCAGGTGAGACTTTGCCAGCAGACAAGGCAGCCTTGGCAGCAAATTCAGTTAGGTCGGTAGCGGTGAAGCCTTTCAGAAGACCTCCGAAAGCACCAAAAGGTGTGCGCTTAGCAGCAACAACAAATATACCTGTAGCAACAAGGAGAGATTTGTCAGCAATCAGATTAGTCAGTGTCCCCAACATGCTCTAAATCATCTCACTGTGAAACCTCAGAAGAGTGCAACTTTCAGTTAGATAACTGGAAGTCTTTGCCATGAAAGAACAGGTCACAACCACAGAAGCAGAGTCTTAAGAATGGTCAGTTTGAGCAACACCTATAAGCAGGTACCAAGAACTGCACTGCATGCTATAATGTAAGTGCTTGTTCTCTGATGCTTTGCAATGCTAGAAATATTTGTTGATAACTGAAATCCTTCTTCTTCCATGTGCTGGAGTACAAGACCTAGTATTAGAATCAAAGAATCTCTAAACTAGAAGGTACCTTAAGATTGTCTGAGGTCAACCACTCGCTCTAGAACTCCCTCTAAAAAGTTTCTGACAGGAGGTTCTCTCTAACCACTGCTAGAAAACTTTCAGTAAAAAGCATCCTCTCCTGAAGCAGTTCCCATTCTTTTTGGCATCAGGGACCGGTTTCATGGAAGACAATTTTTCCATGCCCGTGTGTGCGCATGCGGGCGCTCATATAGTCAAACCACATAGCTAATCATTGCCTCAGCTCCACCTCAGATCACCAGGCATTAGATTCTCATAAGAAGTGCACAACCTAGATCCCTCACATACACAGTTCACAATAAGGTTCACGCTCCTAGGAGAATCTAATGCCGCTGCTGATCTGACAGGAGACAAAACTTGGGGAAAATGTGAGTCATGGCGAGCAGCTGTAAATACAGATAAAGCTTCACTTGCTCACCTGCCATTTACCTCCTTCTGTGTTGCCCAGTTCCCTAGCAGGTCACAGACTGGTAACAGGCAGCTAGTACCCATGTGCAATCAACTCCTGAAGAAACGGAAGACTTTGATGACAGAAGAGAAGTCATCGAGATAGCTGACCCTGGACCCTGAACACACTGCTGATGCTTTTTTGGGTTTTTTTGAAAGCAGGATTTATTGAGATGACAGGAAAGCTCCCAGAGGGGATGCAAGCGGGTTGCCACACTACTGATTCTTATGGAGGGTTGATAATTTACACAAACTTTGAGTTCAGAAAGTCTTATTTGGTTCTGAATAGCTGAGACACACATTAGAGGAAGAATTTTAAACTAGTTATAAATGGGCAACAGCACTATTTATGAGAAGAAAATCAGGGCCAAAAATATATGCCAAGTAAGAATGTAGGACAAAGACGAAAATGTAAGGAGGCTAAGGGTCAGGTATTCTCTGACAATATGTAGTCAGATTCTGAGTCTTCCTCAAGAATCAGTTCCAGTATCTCTAAAAAAATCTCTAAAAAAATTTTTTTGTAGGTTTTTGTCAGCTATAGTTTTACATTCTGTTTCTCCTTCTACGATGCTCAGAAGAAGTGGTGAACGGTCAATCCCACCCTCCCACACAGGTATTGTACAAGATACTTGTTAATGTAAACCACTGCATGGACACCCAACCTTAATGTAATGCCAACCTTAATGCAAACATGAGGGAGTTGTTAAACTCACCAAAGGATTCACAGGAGGATTTCTGGGAAATGACTTCCTTGAGAATTTTAATTGATTAAATATATACATGCCTTTTGCTGCCAACTGTAATAACATAGGTCATAGCTAACTTTTCTTTTTTGTCCCCTTTTATCACTCTCCTCCAGATCCTTTAAAACTCCTTCCAACCCTTTAGACAAAGAGACAAAGACTAATGTAGAGAAATCACAGGCTCTGAAGTGCTATATAAACGATCTGCCCAGAGCCACCTTCCTACCTTTTCACATTTCACGTACATTTTCATGTGCTTTGTGACAGGTCTTCAATAGTAAGTGCAGCAAAGCTCACAGTGGGCTGAGTGTGAGCTGTCAACGATCCCAGAGAGATCGTCCTGCCAGGTCACCCAAAGCCACCATTGGGTGTCCTGACTTAGTGAAGAGTGTTGCCTGTTCCTCCCTACACATCAATGGGTCCTTTGGACTTCTCTCATTATGAGGAGGATTCCAAGGTGGTGACAGTTGGTCAAAGTGTGTAAGTCCCTATATAAGTGAGTGTGCATAAGGACAAATTGGTGTGCAACTGTGTGTTCAAGTGTGTGTATGTCTGAGTGGGGACTTGGGAATAAGCGGCCTGAGTTCTCCTGCTGAGGTGGTTACTATGCACACTTCTGCTCAGATTCCAGCACTTTTTGCGGTGCAGAGGCAGGCACCTTTTTTGGGACCCTACTTGGAAGAGAATGGAGGGGATGAGTTGTTGCTTGGCACCTGGTATCTGACTCACCACAATAACCAGACACTGGCAGCAGGGACCTCCGAGAAAATGCAGTGAGAGAATCAGTCATCAAGTCCCAACAGAGGAGAAGACACAGGAGCACTGCCACTGTCTTTGTCCTAGAATCCAGACAGAGATATGTTCCTGCCTGCCCATTTGAGCAGCAGAGCTGCCTCCTAAGACTGAGGGGTAAATTCTGCACCTGAGGCTGATAACCATTAACTGAGAGAGGATACCCCATGGGATACTCCATGTGTATTATCCCCAGAAGGACAAAGCCAGCTCATAGACCCAGTCACGCCATCTCCCATACTGGACCATTCATGGGACTACGGGTGCAATTGGAGGAGAAGGATCTGGCTCACAGCAGATGGGTAGGGGTGAGTTTTGAACTGATTCTACTCCCTTCCCCAGTGGTCAGTGAGATGTCTAATCCAAATGGGTAGTGGCCTGATTGGCATGCTTGGAGATGACTGAATACAGGTGGAACTGTTGGGGTGGTTCATAGCCTACCCTGACTGAGGTGAAAAGGGAGGTGAACCTAGAGGCCAGAGCCCCCTCCCTACCATTGCATGGCAATAGCAGTGGTGCTTGGGTCATAGCAGCAAAAAAGGAATCCAAAGTTTCAGAAACTGCCACAAGAGGAAGGCTCAAAGATCACAAAAGGTTTTTATTTTTCTTTTATCTTCCTCTATCTATATTTTGATGTGTGTGTGTTTTGTGTTGTTTTGTTTCTTTTCCTTCTTCTTTTTTCAGTAACGGTACAGATGAGGGTGAGCGTGTCATCATTTTTTGAGTTTTAGATTTTTAATTTAATTTTATTATTGGATTGTCTGTTGGTTTGTGTTTTCTGTGTCTACTTCTTTCTCTTCATCATCTTTTCTTCTTCCTGTTCTCTTTCTCAGTTCTTTTTCCTTCTCTTATGCTGTTTTGTACTCAGGGGTATACATACGTTCTCATCACAAAGACATACTGTGAAGTGGTGAAAAGTGGGTCCTGGGGGCTCACACCCCAGTCAGTGAACACTGAGCTGCAGATAGCTTCTGAATTTCAGTTCCCCTCATTACACCTTATTCAAATCTCAACACTGCAAAAAGACAACACAGCCCCCACCCCAACCCAGCTTTAAAATTGACAAATCTGGAGGTTCTACCTAGGGAAGAATAGGGGGTAGAACAAACAGAAGTGAAAGCTATTCCCTTTATCACTGAGCAGTGGAATTAAAGAGAAAAGAAAAATCCATCACAAATGAAGAAAAATCAACAGAAGAACACAGGTAACCCACAAAGTTCAAAACAGATAGTGCCTGAGAATACTGACCTTGGAACTCAAACAATGAAGAGCACCCAGAATAACTGGTCACAGATCACATATGAAGGAATCAAGGAGTGGATGGAGAGGATGAAGAAGAATTAAGAGGAGTAAGAAGAAAAAATAAAAAATATGCTTATAGAGATGTTGACCATAAAAAACACTATCCATAAAATAAATAAACTGACAAGCATGAAAAGTAGAATTAACCAGGTAGAAGAAAGAATCTCAAAGCTTGGAGACCAAATATAAAACTAATTCTATCTATTAAAAACATATAAAACTAATTCTATCTATTAAAAACAGAAAGAAAGCTTAAAAAGTTCAAAAAAAAAAAACGCCTCCAGGAGATGTGCAATTATATTCAGAGGCCAAACTGATACCTGATTGGTATACCTGAAGCAGAAAGGGAGATAGAGAACACCTTAGGACAAATATTCCATGAGCTTATCCAAAAAATTTTCCCTTATCTCAGAGATGTGAACATCCAAACAAAAGATTCAAAGAACTCCTGCAAGGCATCAAATGAGAAGACCAACTCCTAGACACATGATAATTCACTTACACAAAGTAGGTATGAAAGATAAAATCCTAAAGGCAAAGAGAAAGGTTAGACTACCTACTGGGGTAGACAATTAGAATAGCAGCAGACTTATCTACAGAAACACTACAGAATAGAAGGGACTGGAGTCCAATCTCCAAAGTTCTGAAAGGTAAACAAATCCAAGCAAGAATTTCCTATCCAGCTAAGCTCAGCTTCATCATGAAGGAGAATTAAAATCCTTCCCAGACATCCAATCCTTAAAAGATTATGCTGCTTCCAGACCAGTCATACAGCAGATGCTTAAGAAGGTATAAAGCACAGAACAAAGGAAAAAAAAAAAAAAAAGAATGATGATGCACTTCACAAAAGTACAGGAAAACACAGTATTAACAGAGCATACATTGTGACTGCAGAATTGACAACACACACATATTGACCCAAAAGTTAAAAGAAAACAAACAAAAAACTTTAAAAGAGCCTAGTATCAGGGATAAACTCTCACATTTCAATAATCAGCCTGAATGTGAACGAACTAAATGCACCACTGAAAAGACAAAGAATGGCAAAATGGATTAAAAAAGCACGACCCAACAATATGCTGCCTCCAGGAAACACATCTTACTACAAAGGACATCCACAGACTCAAAGGTAGAGGATGGAAAACAAACTGTCAGACAAACAGAAAAGAAAAAAAGGTAGAAGTTGCATTTTACTATCAGACAAAACAACCTTCAAGCTATCAAAAATTTAAAAATGAAGGACACTACATAATGATAAAAGGTTAAATCCATCAACTGGAAATATCCATCCTAAACATATATGCACTCAATACAGGAGCACCAGGTTTTATAAAACAACTACTAATCAAAAT